GCCAGGCTGGAACTTCCAGCTTAATCACACTCCTTAAATCCCATGCTGCAATTAAACCAGGATCATCTGCAAGGTCCTGAAGGGATGACCCAGCACCTCTAGAAAATGCTTTTGAGATTAGGGATTCTTCCCACTCGTTCCAGAGCAGGAAAACACGATGGCGTTAAATCCTTGTGGTATGAAATCCTCGCAGGGCAAAGTCCCAGAGGTTCCTGGAGAACTTATGTGTCCTCTGAGGAGATATTTGATGTTAGCCATGGAATCCCAGAATATTTTGGGTTGGAAAGAACCTTTAGGATCATCCAGTTCCCACCCCCTGCCATGGGAAGGGACACCTCCCACGATTATCCCAGGTTGCTCCAACCTGGCCTTGGACACTTCAGGGATCCAGGGGCAGCCACAGCTTCTGTGGGAAATCCATTCCAGCCCCTTCCCAGCCGTGTCTGGGCTGTGTCTGGACCCCTCCTGGTGCAGCTGTGGGCGTGGGGTGACCTCCCTGGTGAGATGATCCTCTGAATTCCAGGGGGACGCTCAAGTGGCGCGACGGACGCAACCACGTCGGGGATTTCAAGGAAGGCTTGGAGCACGGGTAAGCCCCGGGAAAGGGGGGGTTCCTTACTTTCAAACCATGCTGAGAAACGGTTCCTTCCCCTCAGAGGGACATCTGGCTCAAGCTGAAGATGTTGTAAAGATGGAGAGAGAGGGTTGGTGGTGACTACAAGGAAGGACCCGTGGGCAGATGAGCAGTTCAGTGCAGGCATTTCTATCCATGTGGACATTCACGTGGATGAACCTGGTCCCTGATCTCTAAATCCATGTTAATTCATTCATGTGAAGTGCCTTGAAAAGTTATTTTTAGGTGGCTTTGAAAATTTTCTTTGAAGTGAGGAGTTTTCAAGGGTGAGAAACCACGTTGGGAAATTCAAGTGTTATTTATCTAGTTTTGAGGAGGGTTTTTTTTTTGAAAGTAAGCCTTTTAGAGGCCTCACTTTTACAAGAATTCCAGAATAGGTGAGAGTTTTAAGGGGGGAAAAAAATCAATCTCACATACTTCGTGTAAGGAATAAAAAAACTATTTAATTCATGCCCTAAACTGGGGAAGGGTAAATAGAGGGGAAAAAACCAACACTGAAAGTGAGTCTGTAGAAGGCACAATGAGTGCAGCTCATGAGCAGATGAGCTTTTCCTTGGACCAAGTCGAGGTGACCTTGGATTTAGTGACACCTAATGTGTCAGGGGCAGAGTTGACCCCAACCCCATAAATCACATTGGAAACCTGGAGGTCCTTGGCTTTCAAACTTCATCCAGTACAGCTGAGTTGCCTTTTTCCCTGCTGGCCTCTTCCCTGGGCCTCTTCCCGTGTCATTGCAGGTTTGGGATCTGCCTTGTCCCCCGCCAGGCTGAGGACAGGTATGACTGTTACAAGTGCCACTGGTACGAGGGCAAGATGAGAGGCTACGGAATCTGTGAGTAAGTGACACCCACAGATGGATTCTGGGGGGGGGAAAAAGGGGTGTTCCAAAGGGTGGGGTGTGCCCATCTCATCCCAGCTGCTGGGAATTTGGATGGAGCCTGTTTTGGAAAGCACTGGTTGTGGCCACAGAGAATCCCAGAAAGGGTTGGCTTGGAAGGGACTTTAAGGATCGTCTTCCTGTGAAGGAGGTGAGAGAGAGTTAAATCCTGCAGGTACGGGAATGACCTGGTCTACAAAGGTTACTTCAAGGACAACGTGCGCCAGGGCTTTGGGATCCTGGAGAACTTCTCAGCTGAGCATCCCTTCAGATACACAGGACAGTGGGAAAACGACAAGAAGAGCGGATATGGAGTCTGGGAGGACAAAGACAGGTGAGGGTGGGGTGGGTCAGAGGTGGCTTTAGTGGGACATGTGGAAGTTGTGGTGCACGGAGCGTTCTATGAGGTGAAACTGCCCTCGTCGAAGGACACATTAAGTTCATTAAGATCTCAGAAAACCTGGGGGGAAAAAAAAAAAAAACAACAAAACAACCATAATTTGTTCTGTGTTGCATTCCAGAGGGGAGAGATACATAGGGACGTGGCTGGATGATCACAGGCATGGCCAAGGCATCGTGGTGACCCAGTCAGGGGTCTGCTACCAGAGGACCTTCCACGCTGATAAAATGGTGGTGAGTGCACAGTGTCAGTGGGCTCTGCCAGGCAGGGGATGTGGAACCTGCCAGCAAGGGAAAGATTAGTGTTTCACTCCTTAATTAGTCTGTGAGGGCAGCTGGAAAGCAAGAAAGGGAGATCTCAGGGAAAGGTTCTTCCCCCAGAGGGTGGTTGGCACTGAACAGGCTCCCCAGGGCAGGGGGTGGAACTGGATGTTCCTTGAGGTCCCTTCCAACCCAAACCAGTCTGGGATTCTGTGACACTCCATCTCTCTTGGAGATCATGAAATCTTCCCCTTTCCAGCGTCAGTTTTCCCGTGCCAAGTGTTGGTGTCATTGCAAGTCCAGCTGTCAGTGGGGGGAGCAGAAGGAACTGGCATCGCTCAGACTGGCAGAGGAATCAAAGCTCTGCTTCTCCTGAAAAACACGAGCTAAAAGCAACAAACAACCCCTTCCCCACTCACCAAATGAGGGCAAAGTGTTTTGCTGTGGAAACCTGGGTGGGGTTCCAGCGAGGAAACCATTCCAGTGGAAAATGCGTCACAGCTCGACAAGTGACCACGTTTTCTGGCTGCTTTGGGTTCCTACAAACGTCAGGGCCTCTTGGTGCTCCTTCCCTAAAAAATGTGCTCCTGAAAGCAGAGTGGGATTGGGGAGGCAGTTTGAGGAATGTTTGGGAGCAGCTCTTTAAAGCCCTGTTGGCTGCACAGCAAGGGATGAAGTGAATTCCAAGGTTTAGGCTGGAATATTAGGAAGAGTTTCTTCCCCCAGAGGGTGGTTGAGCACTGAATGGGCTCCCCAGGGAAGTGGTTGTGGAACAAATCCTGCCAGAGCTCCAGGAGGGTTTGGACAATGTTCTCTGGGATGTGGGGGGATTGTTGGAGTGTCCTGGGCAGGGCCAGGAGTTGGACTGGATCATCCCTGGGGGTCCCTTCCAGCTCAGGATATTCTCTGATCTTGTTTGCTCTTAATCACTTTTTAAAGGGTGACACACTTGGCTCCAATCACCTCCAAAGTCCTAGGATTGGGAGCAGCGTGAGTGTGACCCCTGTGACAATTCCTGGTGACCCTTCTTACCACAGGATCCTGCTTTTTCCTCCTTTTGCTGGGAAAACTAATCCAACAGTTGTTCCAAACCCCCCAGGACTTCCCATGGGGTGTCTCTAGAGCATCTCCTTCCTCTTGAGCATTGAAATCAGATGTTGGGCTTTCAAAAGAGATCCTGGGAATCTTCAGCCCCTAAATGGTCCAAGCCAGTGATTGTTCCTGAAGGAACTTGAGCAGGTGGGAAGTTCACGGCCTGATTTCATTCCTTCTGCTTCCAACTGAAGGGTCCTGGGATCCTGCTCCTGGAGGACGACTCTGTCTACGAAGGGAACTTCACGGAGGATCTGACCTTTGTTGGGAAGGTGAGAATTCCTTCCTCCAGGCCTTTCTTGACCCCCACATGGATTCATCTCCCGCAGTTTCTTGGTTTCTGCATCACATCTTTCCATATTTTCCACACTTGCTCGATTCCCACGTGGATTCATCTCCAAAGTTCTCCCCTTCCTGCTCCACTTTCCCCCAGTCTGCTGGAAAATCCTATTTTCATGGGGTTTGGGATTATTTTTGTCCTTCATCAGTGTCAGTAGAGGAGCTTCAGCTGAGAGACTTTGGGGGGCTTTGGGAATGGTTTGGGGGTTTAATGTTTGATTTACATTCAGGGTCTTGAGGTTTGGGGGTTTTTTTGGGGGGGGTTGTTTGATTGGTTGGTTTTTTGGTGGTTTTTATTTGGTGGGTTTTATTTGGTGGGTTTTGCTTGAGGTTTTCTGGTTGGGTTTTTTGTTAGAGATATTTTGGGTTTTTTGGGAGGGGTTGTTTGGATTTTTTTTGTATGTTTGGCTTTTTTTTTTGTTTGTTTGGGGTTTTGGTTTGTTTTTATTTGTGGGGGGTTTTGTGGTTTTTTTTGGTGGGTTGGAGGTTTTTTTGGTTGCTTTTTTTGTATGTTTTGGTGGGTTTTTTTTGTTGGTTCTTTTAATTTTTTGCTTGTTTTTTATTTCATTGGGTTTTTTTTTTT